AGCTCTTCCGCTGGCTCAAAGTTTACTTGGCACTAATGTCCTGCCGGATCAGCTCAGTGCGCAAATGGAATCACAAGCTCTCAGGATCAGAGCGCTATCACCTTCCTATCAAACAGGAATCTCCTCTGGTGTCTGGTCTGCACCCGTAAGCAGCATGAATCGTCCCACCTCTCTAGGTGCTATGGATATCCTTGGCGGTGCCTCTGATTTGGATATAACAACTGAATGTGCGACTGGATCTCCTGTGATAGATCAGTCAGCAGAGTTTTCCCTTAGTGAAGCATCTTTTTTCTCCTCAGCTCCAAGACAAAGAGCAAGCTTATTTTCTGATAAACAAGAAATGTCAGGCTTTGGTCTCGGGGGTTGTGCGCTTGAAGAAGAACCCGTTAAACAAGATCAGCCAATGAAATATGCCCCTCCTGTTCCCTTTAAACGCCGTTCTCAGTCTTCCAGGATGCGTCAATCAGCTGTTCAACGATTCCAGTGAGTCCCTAAACGTATTTTTGTTTTTAATAGATAAGCTCCTACTAAGAAAACTGTGATAACTATTGAATAACAGTTGTTGACAAAAAATGCTCTACTTATTTAAAAAATGGTATAGTCTTTGGTTGACAAAGTTAACATAGATGAATTAATCTGCATGTCAGCTGAAAAGTATTGTTGTAAATCCTCTGATTATGTACATGTATGCATGTGGGGGGAAAGAAAGTCAGTATATGTGTGTGTATTTATGTTTACATTCTTTGATTTATGTGTGTGTTTTTTAATCCAGTGTTCTCTAAGAGTGTCCTGTTGTGATCATGTAGTTTCAGGAGGAAGTCAATAGACTCTCAAGCGCTGAAGCTCAGATGGACAGAGATCTTCCAAATGCAGCATTTGGTAAGAAAATATCAAAATGAACGTACGCGGCTGTTCTCGAGTGCATACATTGACCTTTTCTTTTCCTGCTGACAGGATACAATGACAGCCCTTTGAATGGTTTATCAATTCTAATCCTTTGATCATTTCTTTGTGAAACGCATTTGGGATGATTAGCTGTCAGAAGGCTGCTTTGCACTTCTTGTTAAAACACTGTAACTATAGCGATACAGCGGTTAGAGATATGTTTACTGACAGCGGGGCAAATTTGGGTTTCAAAAGCAGTCTTATGCAACTTGGCGATGTTCAGCATTTTGGAAAAATACTTTAGATGCTTTTAAAAGTACTAATACCTAACTTTGGAAATACTCCACTCCTTATCATGCATTCAAAACCTTACTTGGAGGCTGTGGCTCATTGGATAGTGTGCTGGACTTGGAATCAGGGGGTAGCAAGTTCGAGTCCCACTGCAGTCAGCATGTCGTTGTGTCCCTGGGCAAGACACTTCACCTCAAATTGCTCCTGTGGGGATTGTCCACAGTACTGAATGTATGTAAGTCGCTTTGGATAAAAGCGTCTAACAAGTGACATGTAAGGCAAGGCAAGTTTATTTATATAGCACTTTTCAACACAAGGCTATTCAAAGTGTAATACTTAAAGGTAGGCTAGGTAAGAATGGAGAAACCAGATCGAGTCATTTGAAAGTACACAACCGAAAAAAATCGGCCCCTTCCTTCAGACTTCCTCACAGAGCCCCTCCTCCAACACACACGAATGCGCACATGACCAATGAGGGCACGGGATAAGTTTGCGCATGAGGTGGAAGGCTGACAGGCAGGTAGGCCATCCAGTTATCTGTCGCGGGCCGAGGCAGATAACTGGACTTGGTTTTTACAACGCCACGGCTTCCAAGATGAAATATTTGTATGTATTTATTGTTAATGTGTTCATTGCTATCGGGATGTTAAGAGCATTCCATGGAATATAACAAGGTGTTTCTGAAATGAATTACCTACCCTACCTTTAAGTAAAAGTATATAAACATTATCAGTAAAATGCATTAGTTAATCGTAAGTAAAAGTTTGCAATGAAATATATCATCAGAGTGTTTTACTATTACATGGTGTTTTTTGGATGTATTTATTGCTGCAGTAATGCTTATGTTAATGTGCTGCTGAATGGTTAAGGTTATATGTAAATTGCAGCTCATTTACATAAAAGTTTAATCTACAGCAAATTAATTATATTCTATAAGATCATGTTTGTGGCTTTGTTGCTGTCCTGCAGAACCATGTATCTCTGAACATTTAAAAAAACGATGTGATCATACATTTTTCTGCTGATCCAAAATACTTTTTTCAGTATTTATTCACATTAGGAAGTATGATATTTATTTCAACACATAAAGGGAGCTCCTATCCTTCATCAGATTATCACAAACACATCTTAAGATGCATGGTTTTAAACTGGACAGGAAGGGAATGAAAAATTGTGATAAAAGGGAAATACTCAAGTTCAAATTGAAGGTACTTTTATTAAACATAAATGTACTTGGTTGAGTTCCACAACGTTACACATCTAACCTTTTGCACTTTTTTTATTTATATATATATATATTTTTTAGCTGGCACTTTAATCATGGGGGCGTAATTAATTACCACTTTATGAAGGCAATGAACATTTTATTTGTGTCTGTGTTGCAGGAGGGTTACTGGCAGTTCACCACAGAGCTGGGTGAGCTGATTAATTTGGATGTGGACCTCTTCGCCAACGTGTTCCTGAAAAACAAAGGCATCCAGTCTCTGGGTAAGGACTCTCAGAAACTGATGCAGCCTTTAAAGTGGGAATAGATTTGTCATTTCAGATCATTTCCACATCTTTCTGTGGCCAAAAGATTGGGTTTACACGTGGAGATAGAAGTATCATTCGCCGAATAGTGCCAACATGTTCTTTAAAGTTTAATATAACCCTCCAAGCACTATAATATTAACCAATCAGACGAGAATGTCCTATTTGTATTTATTAGTTTTTAAATCATTAAGATGAGTTTCAAAATGACCTGTTAATAACTAAGTCTCTTTCCTTGTCAAAATATAAGAAAAAAACACTTTGATTCAAATCAAACTGCTCTCGTTGGGGGTTATATTAAAAGGTATTTATTTACTAGTGAAAAGTTTAATACTGAATGTAAAATCAGTATTCAAAGTAAGTAAATTGCGAGAGCAGTGTTAATACTCAAGAGAAGAAGAAAAGAATAACGTAAAAACTGACACATTTTAGTGTGTGAAAAGGGACAATTACAAACAATTATCATGCCATGCCTCTGCTTTGTAGAGACTTCAATCAAAAGCTACATTTTCCACTTTTCAGCCCAAGTATATTTCATGATAGTTTGGATTTTACTTTTCCAGGGTTTGAGATTAACATCTGCTTCACAATGGAGATGTAAGCGATGTTTTTGTGGGGCTCCAAGTGGAAATCTCTGTCCACAAAAAATGGCCTGTCTTTCAGTTTTCATTGAGGACTCTCACATAGTTGCACTGCTTTTTATTTTTTAAGTCTTACAGATATTTCAGCCATGATGATGAGTTTGTTTCCCACGGATGTTAAAAGCATGTTGTGTGTGTGTGTGTGTGTGTGTGTGGTGTGTGTGTGTGTGTGTGGTGTGTGTGTGTGTGTGTGTGTGTGTGTGTGTGTGTTGTGTGTGTGTGTGTGTGTGTGTGTGTGTGTGTGTGTGTGTGTGTGTGTGTGTGTGGTGTGTGTGTGTGTGTGTGTGTGTGTGTGTGTGTGTGGTGTGTGTGTGTGTGTGTGTGTGGTGTGTGTGTGTGTGTGTGTGTGTGTGTGTGTGTGTGTGTGTGTGTGTGTGTGTGTGTGGTGTGTGTGTGTGTGTGTGTGTGTGTGTGTGTGTGTGTGTGTGTGTGTGGTGTGTGTGTGTGTGTGTGTGTGTGTGTGTAGTGTGTTGTGTGTGTGTGTGTGTGTGTGTGTGTGTGTGTGTGTGTGTGTGTGTGTGTGTGTGTGTGTGTGTGTGTGTGTTGTGTGTGTGTGTGTGTGTGTGTGTGTGTGTGTGTGTGTGTGTAGGTGTGCAGGCCCATGCAGACATCCTGAAGCTGGTGGCGACTCTGCTGGTCCTGCAGCTGATGAGAGAGGAGAAGATAAAGGAGGGCAAACTGCTCCGCACCCTCTTCTGCCTGGACGACTCCCCTCTGTTCAGGTCTGTCCGAAACTTAATCGAACAACATGAAGATCCTAAATAATACACCTAAACTGATTCCAAGCTTAAAGGCTTACACTGCAACCAAAGTGTGAAAAAAGGAAATGAAACGGGAAGAGAAACAAATCACAACACAACAAAGCATTTATCTCTCAATTCATAACCTTGAGATGCCCATTGACTTTTAAAACACTTAAATATGTTGTTCTCATTTGCAAAAAATATCCAATATTAATTGCAATGTTCTTCTCTGGGTGATTTTTTTTTGGTAAATGTTTTTATTGATTTTCTCAGTTTTTTTGACAAAAAGCAAGTGATACAGATTCAGTAAGGATATATACACATGCTGACACATCTAAATCTTAATTTCAATCCCACCAACCCACCCATTAACCCATTGAGTTACAGGATACAGAGCCCTTTAACAGTAAATACAGTGTTTTCATAATTACATTAGTTCAAGGGGGGCAGAGAAGGAAGAAGAAAAAAATGCACAGAGATAAACACAAAGAAAGAAAATAATGATAATGGAATAGAAAGAGAAAAATTATGAATCAATAATATATAAATATATATGAAATGCTCACTGCTCAATCCAACCTTATTCTTTATCAAGTGGATCTTGTAAGGAGTCATACAAGTCCAGAAAGGGTTTCCATGTTCTAATAAAGGTGTTAGAGGAGCCCCTGAGTAAGAACTTCATTTTCTCCAACTGTAAGAAGTACATAACATCTTTGCCCCACTGAGAAAAAGAATGTTGCTTCCATTTTAGAAGAATCAAACGTCTCGCAAGAAGTGTAGAAAAGGCTATAACTACATGGGCACTGTTTGGTAGGGTCTGGGTGATTTTTTGAGACTAGCTGTCACTCTATCCAGAGTGGCAACCTGTTTTCATATCCACTTTCTTCTTCTTCCTCCAGGCCTGAGCGTTGGGAGGAGGTGAAGAGGGCGGTGGACTGGGTCTGCTGGGCGGACCGGCAGTACCCGTGTGTCTACAGCCGGCTGGAGTTTGGATTCAGCTGGGAGTCCTCCACCCGCCAGCTGCTGGGCTTCGAAGGCCTCCCTCCCTTCTCCGCTCTCAGGGGGCTGAACCTGCAGAAGACCGTCCCCCAGGTCCTGGTCCACTGAGCAGGATAGTGAGAGGGAGGTTCATACCCCTTTGCCTTTTTATGGGGATTACATCATCTATTAGATGTATTTGTAGCCCTTTTATTATCAGTGTGTTTACATGTTCTTAAATAGGTAGATACAATTAGCTTACTGCAGACCTGATTTATTAAACTTAAACTGCTTTGGGCGGATGTCTGCATATCGCCTTTTCTGCACGTCAGCATATTTTTTCAAATGTATTCCAATAAGCCGATAGCTTATACTGTTTTACACCGTGGTCTTCAGAGAAAGAGTTGCACCCCTTGTCTTTCTTCTGACCGTTCCACCGTTTTGGTCAAGTTGAAGATATTTAAACTTTCCAGAAAAACGCTGTTGACGTCACTTTTAGGAAATGACTGTCTCACCGTCAGACAGTAACCATCATAGCAACGACCAAAGAGCTTTTGGAGCAGATCTGCCGGTGTGTGAGTGGCTTTTATCGTACCGTACACATATCATCCTCCTCACTCTAAAGCTGTCAGACTAAAGCTGTGACGCTCAATAACACAACATGTGAGAACAAGCATCCTCCTGTTTGTTCTCAGACACAATGACAAACAAATACATAGCAAAAATCGATAATAAAATCCAAGGGGTGAGGCTAGTCTGTCATACAACAATGGTGATACAGTGTCAAGACATTGCTGTCATAGAAACAACAAAACAACCCTTGGAGCGTTATGTGGACACGCCCTTATTCGGGGGAAAGAGGATTTAAAGGCTAGATTACATTTCATGGCCATGGACACTGATACTTATCATCTTGTTCCCGCAAGTCCACAACAATGCCTTCAGACAGAGATAGCATCATTGTGACCAGTGATAAAAGGGAAGGTCACGATGAGTAGCAGTCTATTTGCATGTTTGTAATCCTCTCATCCTAAATTAGTCAAAGTCTACTTCCTCTAAATATTTTACTGGTAGATGTAGTCACAGCTGTCTTCCCACAGTTGAACACACAGTCACATGTTATTGTAAAATAAGGAAGCGGTGCCTTTATGCCCAAAAAGGGTCAGTTTCTTGGAAACATCTTGGACTGTCCTGCTGAATGTGTGTGTTGCTTCCCTGAGTAACCTTGTACATGTGAATCTTGTTTCATTTATAACTAATATTTTAGTATAGGATCTTCTTTCACAGTATATGCACTGTTATATCATGGTAGCAGTATAAATCAGGGTATAGTATTGTTCTGTAAATTCAATAAGAAGTGGATTAAAACAACCTGTCTTTGGATTATTTTCCTCTTTTATTTGGAACTATATTAACAAAATCAACCGACTCACGAGTGACAAAGCAAAAGACTCAAAACCTTTACAGTTCTGAATGTGAAACACGTTTTAAGGTTAAACGATGCAAATAACTTTGACTTTGAAATACATATCAGTCTGACTTCAGTCAATGCAATATGAAGCAACATAAACATCCCACAAGTATTCATTTTAATATATACCAAAAGAAACAAGACTTGAACTGCAGGATTTGCTCGTTTCATTCAAAAAAGTAAAGTAAAACTCCCTTTTATTTGAAGTACATTACAGTACTCGAGTAAATGTGTAGATTTTATATAGCTAAATCAGGAAATGGCAACTTTTTTATACAAGATAACACTTATTATAAAAATATGGTGTGTACTACATGTTCTTGGACAAGATAAAGCTCTTGCACACAACAACTTGCTCTTATCAGATGAAAAGCAGCTTTACCACTTCCCATGTGTTCTTAAAGGTCCCCTATCATGAAAAATGCACCTTTGATGTCTTGTATACACACATATGTGTCCCCGGTGTGTAAAGAGACTCACAAAGTGTCAGAAAATCCAACCCTCTCTCTTTTCCTCCGTACCCAAATCTCTAAAAACGGGGTTACAACGGAGCGGTTCCAGATGTGCTGCGGTCAAGACGACATTACTGAAATGTGGGCTGGCTTTACACCCACGGCCCGATCAGAAACGTCGCTATCAGAAACAATTCGTAACTATTTTGGAAGTAATATGGTCAGTGTTTACATTAGCAAGCATCGCTAACACTCAGAGCTAACGCTGTACTGGAGAGAGTATGTGTAAAGAAGCAGGATATAAAAAGGTACTCACCACTATATGTGTTTGTAATCACAAAAATAAAGTATTTCAAAAGGTTACCCAGTTGTCCTCATTTGTTTTCTTTTGTTTATCAGCATTCATTTAGATCCCTGCTTTCACAACAATGTCAGCTAATACTCTTTTAAACTTGTCAAAGAGAGCTTTACGGGATCAGTACATCTTGAATGTTCTTAAACTTATGGGTTGTTAAGACCATATATCTCTATTAACACAATGGACTTGATTATAACACTTATTTCAATGTGCTTCGAGAATACTATGTTTTAATTATGGTCATGTCAATAAAGCTTATTTGAATTTGTCTTGACTATCAGCGTTAGAAAAAAATGGCATTTCCTTATATTTGTATTGTTTTTTTACATAGATAATTATCTGACACAGCAATGAAACTACTCTTAACACTTGAGAGTTGTGACTTCCTCAAAAAGACAATTTCTTTAGAAATTGAAACCAACCAACACACTTTCCTCAGTCACTTCAATACTTGATATTCCCATGAGCGATGGAGGAAATGTATGTCAACCTTGACGATGTCAAACCCCTAAGCTCAAGATCATCAACAAAACAAGAAGGTAAGTGTCAGTCAGACGGAGTGAGCTGTGGATTTTGGATTTATTATACTCACTGGTTTTCTCTGTGTTCAGGTCCCAGGAGATTTCCCCCAGCGTCTGTTCTCGGTCTGGGGCTGCTGGTTGTTTTCCTGCTGGCTGGACTCATCGGCCTCGCTGTCCACTGTGAGTCTTATTTTTAATATATATATTATATTAGTTTCATAAGTCATTTTGAACGTGTGATTTTAAGGAGCAATATTCTGCTCTGAAAGATGCACATTTGACCAAAACATCTATTGGTTTTCTATTTTTCTCCTAGGGCGAAATTATAGATAACATTGACTTTGGTTTGTGTTGGTATGATTGCATCAGGTATTGCATTTTCATTCCAGACCATAACTCAGTAGGTGGTGCAGCTGCAGATCTCTCCGCTGTCAAAGCAAACCTGACTGAGCGTCTCCATGCCAGCGATCAGCTGCTGTCCTCAGTGACTGAAGAGAGAGACGGACTGAAGGCCAACCTCACCGGAAAGACCAGAGAGGTGGACAGGCTTCAGAGTTTATCCAAACAGAGTGAGTGCTTTTCTGTGACGGTTTTGCACAGGGCTGGGCAATATGGATTATATCAATTGTCATGATATTTTTGAGCAAATACCTCAATATTGCATCGATATTCTAAGGTTGGTGATTGAACAAAGATATAATGTAAATTTAAAAAGGTCGAAGACAAAATATGTTACATTTGGTGCCGAACCCTGGGCCCTTAAACTTAAAACCAATGCTTAGACCTCTAACCTGTTAAGCACTGAGCCTGTTTTTCAGGTTTCAGGCTTGAAAATGGGGGGTCCACTGGGGGGACCGTCGTGCTTAAGAGGCCCAGGCATTTTTTTAAAGTCATGTTAGGACCGGCTCGCAGGCCACAACAAAGGAGAGTGAATTCAGCGAGAACAAACTCACATTTATTAAAGTAAATAAAAAAGTCACTGCAGTGGAGTTCGATGAACAATATATTAATTTATTTTTTGGTTTTGTGCATAAAATGAGGAGATGGGAGCAGTTTGTTTAAAGTGTAGTTCTCTCTGCTCTGAAGAAAGATCCGAAAACATTTAACAAGGGAATCAATCGGGAGCGAGGTGGACTTTTTGTCTCTTCATCTCTTCTCTCCTCAAGAGGCATTTTGTTTAATATTTTTTCTTAATTAGTTTTTGTTTTGTTTTTTTGTAAACAGCATTCACACTAATTACCAGTAATATTGCAGTAATTAGTCATCTGATTTATTAAGTACCTGAATGTATAGTAGAGTGTGAGGAGTCATTAAAACCCTTGAAAAGACGCTGGAGGGAAGTTTTGAATTATATTTTATCACATGCAATAATAGTTGTTTGCAACTTCACGCCCCCTCCTATTTATTTTACCATTTCTTTCTCTTAGAGCTAAATCAGGAAAAAGTTGACATGTCTCCTGTTTTCAGACCAAGACTCAGTACATCTTTTGACTGAAGAGAGAGAACGACTGAAGGCCAACATCACCGAAAATACCAGAGAGGTGGACAGGCTTCAGAGTGAGTGCTTTTCTATTTTCTATGTGTTTTACTCTGTGTTTTTATGCTTACATGCTGTTGTTTAATTATCTTTCTCACTGTGTATTTTTATGTTAGAGCACTTTGTAACCATGTTTTTTAAGGTGCTATATCAATAAAGTGTATTATTATTATTATTTATATGGTGATCTACAAGATACATTTCCCAGGAATGTTTTTTTATCATCTTCCTTTTTTGATGTCATGTCAGTCAAAATTACCGCCTTTATTGCAGTATTTTTGTATTTGATTTATTAAGCAATTGGACTTATAGTACCGTGTAAGGAATCATAACAGACTCTTACAATTATGCAGAGTGAGAGAAGTTTTACCCTTTGTCCCATGCAATGATACCGATCTATCAGAATAGATATTGGCTACCATCAACAATGCTTATTGAATATGTATTTTTTTAAATCACACAAGGGACAGACAGGAATGCTCTCAAGAATTGAATATTTCAGCAAGGAGTCAACTAAATCTTACAACTCAAAAGAAGGTAATAAGTCTTGTCTTTTTTTGCAGAGAAAACTTGCCCTGCAGGATGGAGGATGGTCAGTTGTGTCTGTTATCTCTTCTCTACGGAGAAAGCTTCTTGGGAACAAAGCAGACAAAACTGCAGAGCCAGAGGAGCAGATCTGGTGATCGTAGACAGTAATGAAGAACAGGTAATGTGTGCTGCTTTATCAATTTATTGTTTTACTTATCTGAATCAGAATCAAAATATAAAGGTTGTTTAATAGGTGCCAATGTACATATTAAATAATAAAAATGTATAAAACTTTGATTTTATATTTTTTATATGGTGGTTTTATCATTATCATTTCGCCTATTTATTACTTACCTACTTCACAGTTGTGTGTTATCATTACTGGCTTTTATGCACAATGAGTTATTTTACTTTTGATTCTTCAAGTTGATTTTGATGCTAATACTTTAGTGTTTAAGTACAAATGTTCCCAAAGATGACCACACCGCTTTGTACTACACTGCGTTCAATTGTGTTTGTATTGCATGCTTTTATGTGTATCTTTCATACGTATCATTTAGATTAGATTACAAAAATGAAATGTATGATTTATGTGTAACGACTGAATGAACACCAGTAGAGGACTCAATAGTGTTGTGTTAAAAATTCCAGGAAAGACAGACAACTTCTAAGTTTAACTATTTATTATAAGAGAGAAAAATATATATATTCACTTGGCCAAGGACTCCGTCACGTCATAGAAATCACAGGCAGCAAAGCTGTAATCTGTAACCACTTTTTCCGGAAAGAGCCCCGAACCTTGTGCGACAATACATTTTATCTCACAGGGCGTTGCCCGTACATTTATGATTGGTTGAGACTAGATGGAGAGTAACCTTGGTTTAGACTTTGGCTCTCTCTTATTGGTGCACAGACTCAGATAAGGTCTCTTGGCAACACGACCTTCCAATCAGCATTCGGCCGGCCGGCGAAGTCCCTCCCTATACTATCCGCCATCCTAGTAATTTGTTTTCGCTAAAGCTGCTTTGCAGGCATATAGTGGAATCCTCCACTGCTTCCTAGCTATGCGTGGGTGCGAAGCTCCCATACAACTCAAGGCATGAGCAATGTCCTGTTTATGAATAACTCTTTGTATTCTTCCAGTGTCTGCACCTGACCTTGCTACTCTGTATTGCTGGCTAAAACTTTCTTATGTGACTTTTCCCTTCGTTTCCTATACAATCCATCAAACCTTGGGATTGGTGATTTTGTCTATTTATTCCAAAGTCACATCAACATAAAATGAGCACAATAAACTTATAATGTAATAATAAGAATCAGTCTTTCTAATATTATATAAAAATAGACTCCACAATAGCACGACTCAGGGATAGAGGCTTAGGTTTGCAAAAAGGTCTTTATAGCAGAGACACGGGAGATCAGTCAGTAAGGCAACCAAAACAGACGAGGATTAGGGAGGAACAGGGTCAGGACACGAAGCTGGGTCAGGTACACGTGGAATCAAGATACTAGTAGGAATAAACACTGCTGGAATGCTAGGAATAACAAAGACAAACTGGCACTGAGGGGAATGTGGACGCAGACTAAATAGACAGGGGGAGGGATGATAATGGGGCACAGGTGAGTCTAATTAGGGATGGGAAGCGGGTGGAGTTCAATCAAGGGCAAGAAAGCTGAAACTGAAATGAGAGAAACACAATAAAAACAGGAATAATAACAAAAACATCAACATGCTGGCTAGGGCCTTATGTCTGAGTTAGTTAGAAGGGAATAGTTATCCGAATGTCGATGTTCATCCCTGTAAACTTCATTTATAATATGTTTAAGACTAAGGCCCTGTCCACACGGAGACGAAACCAAGCTCCGTTTCGGCTTCGTGTGGACGAACCGTCTATACGATAAAGAACTTTAGCGGATGCAACTGAAATCGTCTCCGTGTGGACGGGGCCTAAGACATCAGGACTTTTTATATTAATATTTTTCTTTTACAGAAGTTCATGACCAGCATGATCAAGGAACCAACTTGGATTGGATTGAATGACATAGACCAAGAGGGGACCTGGAAATGGGTTGATGGATCTCTACTGACTCAGAAGTAAGGCATCGTTGATATTATAGGTGCATACTATAGCTGCACGTTACATGGCTTTTTTGTATGATTGTCTAAACATAATTATTAATTGTTAATACTTTTCGGAATTTACGGAACCAAGTCTAGAAACTGCTGATCATAACCATTCAACGTTTTTGTTGTATTTAAGAGAATAATGAAAGGGGTGTCTTAATACAAATTAGGTTTGCTGAGGCGGCTTCTTTTTTTTCTTGAATCAGCAATTTGCCCCAAAATAGAGGAAAGCAGGCGGTGAAAGTACATCAGAAGCAAAGGTCGCGTTAACCAAATATTTTTCGTCTGACGTTTTTTTTTAAACAATGACGGAAAATCTGAACGCAGTCTTTCATTTTGACGGATTAGAACAAACTCAGAACAGTGCCAAAGTTTCCCCGCAGCAGGGCTCCGGTGTTATGCCGTGTTATGGATGCCCGCTAAAAAGGAAATGATATAGTTTCCAAACCTAACTTTGCCGTACAGATCATTGAAATGTCTGAGTTTATGCTTTATGCTGTGGCGCGCTCCCGCGAGGTGCAGTGGGCATGCATAACACGGCGCTAACAGTTCACGAGCGTGCGCCCCCCCCCTGTCAAAGTTGTGTACAGACCGACGGGTAATAATGGATTTTGACGGAAATGGTTACGATCCTGTCCGTCATAATGACAGGCAGCGAAAAAGTCTAGCGCAACCTCTGATCAGAAGTGTGGCGGACTTCAACAAATTGACGAAACATGCATTGAACATTTGACCTTGGGAATAACTTTGGTGGGAAGCCAAAAATCCAAAGTACATTTTACTAGAAATTAGGGGTGGGGGAAATAATCGATACAGCATAGTACCGCGATACTTTGCGTGGCGATATTGTATCGATATACGGACGCCAAGTATCGATATTTTATTATATAAACTTTCCCTCGGAAAGATGGTCGTACACTTGACTGATGATTTCAAATGTATTGAAAACTCCAAAAACCAACGTAAGAGCTACACAAAACAACAAATACATTTAAGCTACATCCATATGAGCATTACTTTAGAATACCATTAAACAAGTGAACTTCAAATAGTTAGCAAAGTTATAATACACATAAACGAATTAAGACACAAACCACAGTTTTATATTACAGTTAACACTAACTCTGTGCCTCTTCGGGGGATGGTAACACTTAAATGTAAACTTTATCTTTTGATATCGCCGTATTTAAATGTTGATATCTCCGTTAATATCTGTACTTTATCTCCGTTATTTTTCAACGTCAAGTTTTTGCTTTGGGAACAGTAACTTCCTGCTAATAGCGCAAAGTCGCCTTAAAAATAAAAGCATGTCTATATAAAACAGGAAGTTACGTTAAGACATGTATACAATTGCAATGAAAGCAACAAAAACAATATCATCTCCTTTTCAGGTTCAAAGAACACATTAGGTTATTTACATAAACTATTCATATTGCAAATACATTTTTTAAAGGGAAGACGGACATGGCTATGACGCATGTTATTTGCAATATCTTAATATATCGTATCGCAATACTTAGCATATCGTAGAATCGCAATACTATCGTATCATGGCTTAAGTATCGCGATAGTATTGTATCGTATCGTGGGGAGCCTGGTGATTCCCACCCCTGCTAGAAATACATAAAGCTGCATTTATTATGTTTTGGCATCATGTGGAAGCTGTGGATTGCTTGATTGGAATTAGAAGTAAAGGTCTGTGTTTCGATGACCAGCCCATACAATTAACATGGTGTGTTGATGTGTTATTGAACCCTACAAGCAATTGGCATAACCAAATGTGTGGGGATTTTGGTCTCTTTGAGCATGGGTGTAAATGGATGAATGCTACATGTAAAAAGCATTTTATAAATGCAGTTCAAGTTGGGGGGAGGTATCCTCAAAAACTAACTTGTGTATGACTTCCTACTGTAGGTACTGGGGACAGCCACCTGATAATGGTAATGGTGATCCTAAGTGGGGTGAAGAGGACTGTGCATGTCTTGTAAATAACTGGAATGGTGAAAACAACTGGAATGATCTGCGGTGTACTACCCCTCTGCAATGGATCTGTGAAAAAATACTGTAGCTTGTGGCTATGAGGCAGTGGGTTTGTCTTCCCATTGGAAGGTTGTGGGTCCGATCCCAGCTCCTGCCGTCCTCAAGTCGATGTATCCCACCTAACCCCAGATTAATCCAACTGCGTAATCGCTGTACTGCTTCCATTAAAAAAGCCAAAAGCGATTTTTACTTATCCCAGACCACAGACAGTTTAAACGATCCTAGGAGATTTTGGCATACCATAAAATCCCTCTCTGCCAGCTCTCGCTCCTTAGAGCTGCCTCCTAACATTGTTGTTGACTCCACCCCTGTGTCAAATAAGACAGAGATGCTTAATTGTTTTAATAAACATTTTATTGCCTCCAGTTCCTTGTTTGACACATTATCTTTTGGTAAATCATCTCCCTCCATCACCACCAGTCATGCCACTAGTAGCCACACTTTCTCCTTCAACCCCTTCAATGTTGGGGAGGTTTGTAAGGCTCTAAAGGGCCTAGACCCCAAAAAATCAGCAGGTCCGGACGATCTCCCCCCTTATTTCTTACGGCTAGCTGCAGATATTATAGCCAAACCACTTTGTCATGTTTTTAATCTTTCTATAACAAGCAATGTCATTCCAGATGTTTGGAAAACTGCAAATGTTCTCCCCTTATTGAAAGGTGGTGATCCCATGGTGATGAATAATTACAGACCAATTTCCAAGCCCTCTATTTTAGCTAAAGTACTTGAAAGGCTGGTGAATGATCAAATCAAAGAATATTTAAGCTTGAACAACATTCTATCTCCTCACCAGTCGGGCTTTAGGAAGCAGCACAGTACAGTAACGGCTGCTTTGAAAGTAGTGAATGACATTGTTGAAGGCTTGGACGCAAAGAGCTACTGTGCTGCCCTTTTTATAGACTTATCCAAGGCATTTGATACTGTGGACCATGGCATTCTGTGCCAGAAGTTATCCCATATAGGCCTGTCTGACCAAGCTGTTGGTTGGTTTGCAAACTATCTTTCAAATCGCAAGCAATGTGTAAAATTCAGCGGTCTCTCCTCAAGCTTTCTTAATGTGCCCAGAGGCGTTCCTCAAGGTTCGGTCTTGGGACCGACCCTTTTTACTATTTATATAAATGATGTGGGTCAAAGTATGGATGCGTCTGTACATCTATATGCAGATGATACTGTTGTGTACTGTTGTGCTAGCACTGTTGCGCTTGCATTTGAACGTCTGCAGTCTGCTTTTGACACTTTTCAGTCACATCTGTTCCACCTTAGGTTGGTGTTAAATTCAGATAAGACAAAAGTCATGTTGTTTTCCAATAAGAAAAAGTTACCAACTGTTCTTCCCTGCATCATGTCTGCACAGCATAACCCCATTGAAGCTGTTAACACCTACAGATACTTAGGCATCACTATAGATGAAAATCTCTGCTTCAAAACCACACATTGACAATCTTTTAAGGAAATTGAAATTAAAGCTGGGATTCTTTTTTAGAAATAAGGCCTGCTTCTCCACAAGTGCGAGGAAACGGCTTGTAGCTGCCACATTTTTGCCGCTCTTGGACTACGGGGATGTTGTGTACATGAACGCCTCAGCTCACTCCCTTCATCTGCTGGACGCTGTTTACCATGGGGCTCTGAGGTTCATAACCAACTGTAAACCCCTCACACACCACTGCACGCTGTACGCTTTAGTCAACTGGACATCATTATCAATGCGCAGATCTCTGCACTGGTACAAACTCATCTATACCGCTATGCTTGGACTGCTGCCCCTCTACATATCCACTTACATATCACACAAACAGTACAGCTATAGACTAAGATCTCAACATTACATCACTCTGTCCGTCCCCTCAGTACGCACGGTGCTTGGGAAAAAAGCCATATCATACTCTGCCCCCTCGACCTGGAACACACTTCAGCAGGAACTTAAGCTGACCACTTTGATACCCATCACGGATTTTAAACTCATTTTAAAAAAGCTGGAGAAATCATCTGTGGGTGTTTGCACCTGCTATATCTGACTGTATATGGATTTTAATGACTACTTTTTTACGATGTTGTATTTTAGTGTTGCCTCTGTGTTTAGTGTCCTGTCTGTCTGTAACTTTGTGTGGTAGTGTTACCACTGACAGGTCTCTCTTGAAAATGAGACCTTGTGTCTCAATGAGATCTACACCTGTATAAATAAAGGCTAAATAAAAATAAAAAATCCCGTATGAATGTTAGCTTCCTTAAGCTGGTGGCATTTAGTTTGGCTGGCCCTGTCTATGAATATGGGAGAATGCTAGATATGTACAGTATATACAGTATGTATGCTTTGAGGAGTTGTAAAGTGATTTGTAAAATATCCATAAAGAAATACAAAATCTGTTTACAGTTCTGTTTCATATGGGTGTTGAGAGATGAGATCTTTTAAAGGTCCCATGTCATGCTTTTCCGGTTATTACCCGTCCCCTTGTGTGTTATGTAGCTTTTTCTGCATGTAAACGGTATACAGAGTCAAAAACCCTCAAAGTACACCCTGTAGCAAGTAAAACTCAACACAGAAAATACCTGTCTATGCTGACAGCATCTTTTTCCATTGTTTTCTTCCGGGTACCAAGTCACATAACGACGATCCAAATGAACCTATTGGTCCAAGTGGACCAATCCGTGGAGCTCCTCACACACGCACACTCACTCAGCCGTATCTTTTCTCAGCCGCGATACTCCGCGGAGTTTTGCCAGGACACTCAGCTGTATCTTTTCTCATCCGCAGCTGCGTGGATCTCCACTCACAGTTTGCCACACACTCACGTGTGTGTGCTCAGGCTGGGAAGAGGAAGAGATTGAGCATCAGCTAGTTACAAAGAAAAGAGGAGCCACCGGACCAGCCTGTCAGCGGGCAAATCAACAAGTAGCACTTTAATTCATTAATGTGATCTAACAAATGTAAAAGGGCAAATATTAAGCATAAATGATGTTTATATTGCTTGTAATTGGGATGAAGTAAACATCTGTTGAGTATTTTAACATAAAATTGTTTGATTATGTTGAATTGAAACCCAAAAAGGCAGCGGGTCCACCAGACCCACGAACACTGGCTGAATAACAACAATATGAACACCACACAAGGGTTACTGTAAGGGGCTTTCCAGAACATAAAGGCCCATTCTTGTCATAGTACACAGGAACAGAAATTAATGATCAATCATGCATTTCTCCGAGCCACAGATTGAAACAGAGAACAAGTTCACCCTTAGTATCATGAGTTCAACCAGAGGACAGGTGCATACAATGTCATAGACAAGACTATAAGTAACTAGAGAATGCAATTCCTGAAGAAATTGCTAGTGGGAATGCTTTATGCTGAAAATCTGACGCTAAACTGCTATGCTGAAATGTAATGTGTAAGAAGAAAGTGAAGAATTTAGATTGAAATGATACATGAACACTGGGGGCTTGGGCTTGGATGTGTGATGAGAGAAGAAAATAAAGTAAAAAGGCTTGGAAAAGCAGCAGAATATTTGAACTGCAAACTTCTGAACTAACTTGATGGCTAATGATCTGTCGCCATGGCAACGGCATTTGATGACACCCCATAATACGCTTAGATGTGTTGATGGCTGCATCGTTACCAAACCTGTGAAGTTTTGGGGCGTTTGGAGCAGTTTCACTGAAGTTATGAGAAAGCCGTGTTTCATGGCGAGCATTATGTTGCCATGGCAACGGCATTTGAAGAAATCTCAAAACTGTCCCGTGTAGATGTCTTCACGGCTGGACTGTTTGTACACATGTGAAGTTTGAGCACTTTTTGAAAAATTTTATAGGAGTTATAGCGACATCATGTTTTATGGCGAGGGATGCGTTTCCATGGAAACGGCATATGGTGAGATCTCAGATTTGGCGTAGAGCTGTTTAGGCATGGACCGATGATATACAAGTGAAGATTGGGGGACGATTGGACCGTGTCGATTTGACTTACAGCCACATCGTGTTTCATGGTGAGTGGTCTGTCGCCATTGCAACGGCATTTGATGACACCCCATAATACGATTAGATGCGTTGATGGCTGCATCGTTACCAAACCTGTTAAGTTCTGGGCTGTTTGGAGTATTTTCACTGAAGTTATGAGAAAACCGTGTTTCAAGGCGAGCATTGTGTTGCCATGGCAACGGCATTTGAAGAAATCTCAAAACTGTCCCGTAGATGTCTTCACGGCTGGACTGTTAGCACACTGCTATCTGAAGTCTGCTGCTCTGAGCATGGCAGTTGGAGCGATGACATCATCGTGTTCCATTACACAGGTGTTTATATTTGAACTAACGAGGTGTGCAGAGATCACAGGTTTGCATTGTTCTGAATGAGAGATAAACCTCCTACATGTGAAGATTTTGTGGAAGAACCGTAACAGATATCTGTGAAATTTCGAAACGTGAAGCATGTCAAGGAAGTTGAGTATCTGAAGTGTAATTTGTGTGTACTTTCGGGTTAATAATGTGGCCTTTTTGGCAGTTTAACTAAAGGTGTGCGGCTGCTGCCGTGAGGAAATATCTGCCTGAAATTACAATGGGCTTTAATGGAGGCATGTTGAAAGTTTTTGTCACTTCATGCCCTCAAGAGGCATTTTGTTTAATTATTTTTGCTCTAATAATTATTTGTAATTTTTCAAGCTCCGAGATGTTTTCCTACGTTTGTCATGATAAATGATGTCTCAGGAATGTAGGGTTTGGGAATTATGGCAGTTTTAAAAAAATATATGAAGGCAAATTTCAAGATTGTCTACCCTCTAGCTGTGACATCACGCACTCTAGCGAATGTTAAAATCTGAAGAAAACCTCTATAACAAGGTCTGAACAATGTTTAATATCTCTAAAAGTAAGAATCCGATTTAAAAGTTGTTTTCCACGAATAATGTCAGAAAGATGTGTAACATTTTAAAGTTGGAATGAGGTTTCTGAGTGAAAGTATGAATGAACAGTTAGCAGTTGAATTGCATGAAGATTTGTTGAAGTCTGAAGATTTCCTCCATTGACTTCAATGTTAAAAATGTGATGAATTATGGGATGTATCTCTGGAATTATGAAAGTTATGAATGAGAAAAGTAATAGCCATCGATTCCCGCCCGAGCTGAACGTTTTGATGTTCGAACGGAGTTTCTGCGATGTGGAATGTGGGAGGAGAAGCGCGGCAAAATAAGTCGGCGGAATAATAATAATAAACTTTTCGTGCGTAGAATAACATATAGTTGGAATGCTGTTCAGCATTCCCACTAAACAACGAGCAACAGTCAACACATGAGGAGTTATTTTCCAAAATGCTATAAACGCCAAATTGAAAAATATTGAGTTTGTCGTGCCATTTTGCTGTGTACTGAACCTATTCACTGCTCTATTAACGTTTCATGCCAAATCGCTATATATCCTTGTTTAAAATGTACGGCAAGATGCAGTTCCTTTCCAAACCGCGATAAGCGCCGAACCTATTTTGAGCCTAAACGCGATATGTCCTCTCTACCAATCAGAATTCGGTGAGCGTTCTATGCAATCCAACATGGCGGCGCTCTGAGTCGAGGTTTGTTTATGTTCATTCAGTCTTTAAATGTCTTGAAACTGTTGTAACACCTTTGATGGCCTGGATGAGCCAGTGAGACCTACACCTGGGGGTAGAAAATGTCGACTGGACAAAGAAAACCACAAAAAACAACAATAAAAGAAGGTTCGTCACTCGGGTGGCGCATTAATACCGACTGTGGGATGTCAACACAAAGCTGCTGCGCAAGGTTTCTGTCAGGCCGAGAAGCTGTCACCGGAGGACCTGATGATGAACTTCAACCATTTGTATGAAAAACCAAACAAGGTTGACCAGGACCGGGCTATACTTCATCTCCTGGACATCACGCAAGTGAAAAGGAAGCGTCCGAAAGTTCAGGACGTAAACAAACAAAAAGACCGGAACGTATCTGTCAAGTACAATCTCTTGTGCAACAGTCACCCAGAGAAGGTTCTTGTTTGCAAGGCGACCTTCATTAAAGTGTTTGGTGAGTACAACTTTCGTTTCAGAATTTGCTAGTTTAATACCGTTTTGTAGGTTTCTCCCTTGCGACAAAGATCTTCTGCTGTTAATAAGCATGCAAACGTGACATGGAAAGTATACTAGCCTACTGATGTCATTGCTATAGAGCAGGGCTGTGTGTGTGTGTGTGTGTGTGTGTGTGTGTGTGTGTGTGTGTGTGTGTGTGTGTGTGTGTGTGTGTGTGTGTGTGTGTGTGTGTGTGTGTGTGTGTGTGTGTGTGTGTGTGTGTGTGTGTGTGTGTGTGTGTGTGTGTGTGTGTGTGTGTGTGTGTGTGTGTGTGTGTGTGTGTGTGTGTGTGTGTGTGTGTGTGACTCCTAATGGCTTTGAGGTTAATAAAAACTGTAGGGCGTCTGTAAAGACGAGAGATATAGAGAGAGAGATAGTAAGGCTGTAGGTCTGTGAAGAGGAGAGAGAGAGGCTGTAGATCGTCTGTAAAGAAGAGAGAGAGCGAGAGAGAGCGAGAGCGAGAGCGAGAGCGAGAGCGAGAGCGAGAGCGAGAGAGAGAGAGAGAGAGAGAGAGAGAGAGAGAAGAAGAGAAGATCGTCTGTAAAGAGGAGGGGGAGAGAGATGTGTGTGAAAGGTGATGTTAAGCAAAAGAGGTTCCTAACCCCTGCTAAGGAGAAAACTGGAATGGTAATAGCAAGTTAGTTGTGTGTAATTCTGTTTATTTCATACTGGCTACAATCAATGTATATGACAATCTAAATAATTTACTTTCACAGGCATCAGCAAAGACCGTGTGTCCCGGGTGGTTCAATATTATGCTGAGACTGCTGAGGCTCACCCAGAGAGAAGAGGTGGTGCACGGCACAGTGAGGAGCAGGCAAGGAGAAGGCAACTCATTGTTGAGCACGTCCAGTCCTTTACCTGCAGGGCCAGCCATTATGGGCGGAGAGGAGCACCAGGCCGCAAGTATCTCCCCAGTGACCTGAATGTGCGCAAGATGCATGAGCTCTTTGAGGCTCAGAACCATGCTCAGACCAGCTACTCCCTCTATTATTCAGTGTTCTCCAAGGATTTCAATCTTGGCTTTGGTCACCCAGCCACAGATGCATGCGCTGATTGTGCCAAGTACAAGCTCAGGATTGCAGATCCAAACCTAGCTGAGACAGAGAAGAGGATGGAATCTGCATCATTCATCTTGCATCGCCGCCGAGCGCGCGTCTTTTATGACCTGTTAGGCAGGGTTGCCGAAGGTCATGTGACCCTCTCTCTTGACATGATGCAAAACATGGTCCTTCCAAAAACCCCAATAGGACAGGCCTATTACTCGCGGCAGATGTATCTGTACCTGTTTGGTGTGGTTGTGCACCACG